AAGAAAATTAGCCTGGCCCACTGTGGCAGCATGGCAGTTCTGGTGAAGCCCCCTCCCTGCCATTTGGTTTCCTTCTGCCAAGTGGCTACAGGCTGCCCTTCAAATCTTCATTTGTCCCTTTTCACTTCTTGCAAAGCAAACCTTTGAGAGTTTGTTGGAAATGGCCTTTGATGACCAAAGATACTAGAGTATGTGTGCTTTGTCCTGTATTGTGATGAATGAGAAATGCGGACTTCCAGCTCTTTTGTGAAATATGAGACAGACCTAAGAAGTAGGTCATCCGGGATAGGAGTGGTTCAGTGTTGGGGTTACACAGTCATCCAGCCATGCTCCACCAGGCCACCAGTGCATATTTGGCTGGTGATCTTCCAAGTGCATGAGACCTGCTGTTCACTGATTCTCCACCTCAGTTGGTGGCCTCCAAGATGGCAGCAGCACCCCTAGGGCCCTGTCTTCAGCATGTTACAAAGCCTCAGAGTAGAAATTCTTGCTAAGGCTCTATGTGGATGCTTTTCTTCCATGGCTTAAAAGCTGTACTCTAAGCTTTTGACCTCATGCCTTGTGTAGTAAAAAAGATTTGGGGTTTTTTTTCTTTCGTTTTTGAAAGGGTTGCGTTTTGTTTTTGTTTCCTTTTGTTTTTGTTTTGGCCTTTCCTCTTTGTCTTTTCATGTAGACCAGATATTTGAAAGGGCAGACAATGGCTAAAGGTATAATGTGCAGCTTGTTTATATATTATTTTGGGAAACTTAGCTTGGATAGGAAGTGGAATTGTGGATTCTCCAGGCTGGTGCTGGCACTCAACCTTCGCCCTTTTCCCCCAGTTCAGTACCTACTGTTTCTCCTTTCAAATATGTGATTGTGCTAGCTCTTTCCATAGGGAAGAATTCTCCTTATTTAAATAAAAAAGTAGTTTAAAAAATAAAGCTGAGAAAAATGTTTCAATTAGCCAAGTGAGGTAGAGCACACCTGTAGTCTCAGCTACTTAGGAGGCTGAGGTGAGAGCTTCTCTTGAGCCCAGGAGTTAGAGGCAGCAGTGAGCTATGATAATGCTGCTGCACTCCAGCCTAGGTGATGAAGCAAGGCCCCATCTCTCTAAAAAAAATCAAATAAATAAAAATAAATAAGTCAGGAGCTCAGTTATTGGAACTGTGGTAAAATTTAAGTCAGCATAAGCTTTAACTTGCCATCTTGGGATAACATGAGTATGGGATTTAGAGTCAAAGAACCTGTGTGAGTCTGAAACATTTAAACTTTTCCCTAACATAATGGTAAGATTTGTAGTAGTAGTAATAATAAAATTACTGAGGGTGCCTCACATTTATTTACTATTTTCAGTGGACTGGCCACAATTGTTAAGTCATTGCATTCTCAGACCAACCCATGACTACTGAGCTGATAAGTTTGAGCCCAGATTTGAAGCCAGGTGATCCAAATCCAGAGTCCAGAATTTTGTTGGGCTGTACCACCTCCTTAAAACTTATACTCCCTTAAGTGTATATTATCTACCTTATAAGATTTCTTTAGTCCTTCCTGAGAAACT